AGTTGGTGTGACTGTGAGGTTCCGTGTAGCCTGTGCCAACCGTGCTGGGCAAGGGCCTTTCAGCAACCCTTCTGAGAAGGTCCTCGTCAAGGGCATGCAAGGTCAGCAGGAGAGGGTGGTGGAGTGTGGCCAGAGTTGGAAGGGGACCCTGAGCCCGGGGTCCACCCCCTCCTTAGAGCACCATGGTTTTGCCCCTGGGATGCCATGGTGATGATTTTCTTTGTCTCAATTTAGATTCCTCAGCTCTGCCATCTGCTCCTCACCAAGAAGCCCCTGTTACCTCAGGGCCAGCCAGGGCCCCACCTCCTGACTCTCCTACCTCACTGGCCCCAAGCCCCGCCCCAGCTCCTGCTTCCCCAGCCCACCAGTTAGCTACTCTCAGCCCCTCATCTCCCCCAACTTCTCCTAGCCAGGCCTTGTCCTCACTCAAGGCTGTGGGTCCACCACCCCAAACACCCCCACGAAAGCACAGGGGTCTGCAGGCTGCTCAGCAAGCAGAGCCCACCCCACCCAGTGCCCAGGCCACCCCAAGCGAACCCAAGTCTTCCGTTCCCGACACTGGGACCCTGACCCCAGCCTCTATCCCTCAAGAGGTCAAACCAGCGTCTTCCTCTACTCCCCTGTATATGGTGACCTCCTTTGTGTCTGCACCACCAGCCACTGAGCCCCCAGCCCCTGAGCCCCCTCCGGAGCCCACCAAGGTGACTGTGCGGAGCCTCAGCCCAGCCAAGGAGGTGGTCAGCTCCCCTGGGGGTGGCCCCCCCAGCTCTCCCAGACCAGAGGGCACTGCTCTTCGACAGGGTCCCCCTCAGAAACCCTACACCTTCCTAGAGGAGAAGGCCAGGCAAGTGGGGATGGGATCGGGAAGGGGTGAGGACTAGGTGGGACATAGGGAGCAGAGGGATCAGGAGAGAAGACCTGACTGCCCTGGCCAGGGTCAGGGAGGTGCTAGGCTCTACATGTTTAGCACTATTGAGTTCAAATTTTCTCTGAACTGTTAGTTAGTCACATGATCTCATTTAAGCTTCACAACTCTGAAAGAGACTGCTTTGTTATCGTCACCCATTTCACAGATGGGAAGACTGAGTTTAGAGAGGTTATGGGATTTGCCTAAGGTACAGGGTACAGGGCCAGTGAGTGGCAGAGCTGGGACTCAAAGCCAGGTTCCTAGGATTGAACTCCAGAGCCTACAGTCAGGACCACTTATACTTGTTTGTTCCCAGGGGTCCCTGCTCCCCCGACCCTTTACCCCTTATGATGCAGACATCCCTTCCTCTCCTCTGAGCATGCGGTGTTCCCCACACACACATAGGGGCCGCTTTGGTGTAGTGCGAGCATGCCGGGAGAATGCCACTGGACGAACGTTCGTGGCTAAGATTGTGCCCTATGCGGCTGAGGGCAAGCGGCGGGTCCTGCAGGAGTATGAAGTGCTGCGGATGTTGCACCACGAGCGGCTCATGTCCCTGCATGAGGCCTACATCACCCCACGTTACCTCGTGCTCATCACCGAGAGCTGTGGCAACCGGGAACTCCTCTGTGGGCTCAGCGACAGGTAGCTGGGCATTCTGGGAGCAATGGAAAGTAAGAGTGGAGCTGCTGGGCTGGGTTATCACCTGCTTTACCTGGTCCCCCAGGTTCCGGTATTCAGAAGATGATGTGGCCACCTATGTGGTACAGCTGCTACAAGGCCTGGACTACCTCCATGGCTGCCATGTGCTACACCTGGACATCAAGCCAGACAACTTGCTACTGGCCCCTGACAATGCCCTGAAGATCGTGGACTTCGGCAGTGCCCAACCCTACAACCCCCAGGCCCTGAGGCCCCTTGGCCACCGCACAGGCACACTGGAGTTCATGGGTGAGGACACCATGCCAGCCAGAGCAGTAGCAGCCAGGGCTTCCCCCATTTTATTCACATATGTGTCATTTATTGTTTACTGTATGTAAGCAATGAACTAAGTCCTTTCTGTGGGTATTTTTTTTCAATTTATCTTTACAATAGCCCTGGAGATTGGCATAACATTACCTCCCATTTTACAGATGGGGAAATAGAGGCACAGTGAGATTGAGTATTTGTCCAACATGAGGTAGTTATAAATGGTAGAGCCATGATTTGATTAAGCTGGAAAGATGAGAGAATTAATTATTAACTTATATAAATAAGGAAAACCTGCTACCATTCAGCTACATGCCAAATATTTTATGTTCATTATCTGTATTCCTTTGAGTTATTCTATAAGTCACACTTTTACAGATGAGGAAATGGAGAGCCAGACAGGTTTAATACTTTGCCCAGGTTCCCAAAGCTAGAAGGGGCAGGCCTGGGATCAGAACCAACCAGGGTGATTTTAAAGGCTCTCAACCTGGTGTTGGCCTCCTTTGCAGTTCTGGGGATTCCCACCATTCAGTGCCTGGGCTGATTCCTAAGGCGCCCTCCATCTCCTTTGGGGCCCACCCCTACTCCCATCCTGCTTGCTGGCATACAGGACCTGCTGCTCTAGTTGTTCCCATGGTCTGGTGACCTGGGCATTCTCCTGGTCCTTAGGCCCCCAGGGCCTCCCCTTCTCTCCCTGCGCCCCTGCCCTCAGGAAGCTGGTTCAGCTTGGCCCCTGTCTCCTGTCAGCTCCTGAGATGGTGAAAGGAGACCCCATCGGCTCTGCCACGGACATCTGGGGAGCAGGTGTGCTCACTTACATCATGTGAGTGCCCCCGGGCCCACCTTCTGCCTGCACCCTCTTCCCCTCACTGCCTCCCCAGCACACATATGCACATGCACACACAGGTGGGGGTAGCCCTGTACCTGAGTGCTGTGCCCCTCAGGACCCCCATGCTAATGTATCCCTGGACCTGTGAGTTGATCCTCAGTCCCTGTGTGTGACCTGTCTCCACAACAGGCTCAGTGGGCATTCCCCGTTCTATGAACCAGACCCCCAAGAAACAGAGGCTCGGATTGTGGGGGGCCGCTTTGATGCCTTCCAGCTGTACCCCAACACCTCCCAAAGTGCCACCCTCTTCTTGCGAAAGGTCCTCTCAGTACATCCCTGGTAAGTGGGCCCACATCTACCAAGCCCCCAGCATTGCCTGCCCCCTGGCTGTCCTGGCCCAGCCCATGTGTAAGGTCCCCAGCTCCTCCCCTGCCCCCAAGAACACATTGCTGCTACTACCACTAAATGGTTGCACTGCCCACTACCAAAGCCTATGACACCCTATGAGGTAGACAGAATCATCATCCCCATTCCAGAGATTGGAAACTGAGTCCCAGAGTTGATCTACCTCACCCACATAGGGGTGAATTCAGGATTGGGACTTGGGTCTGTGGGAGGGCAGAGCCCTCCAGGCTCAGGGTCCCTGGCGTGGCCTGGCAGGAGCCGGCCCTCCCTGCAGGACTGCCTGGCCCACCCATGGCTGCAGGACGCCTACTTGATGAAGCTGCGCCGCCAGACGCTTACCTTCACCACCAACCGGCTCAAGGAATTCCTGGGCGAGCAGCGGCGCCGCAGGGCTGAGGCTGCCACCCGTCACAAGGTGCTGCTCCGTTCCTACCCAGGCAGCCCCTAGCGGCTTGGACCACAGCTGGGCCTCTGGCTTCCACTTGGGGTTCCCGCTGATGCTGTGGGACATTCCAGGGCCCACACTGAGCCTGTTGGGCCTGGGGCTTCAGACTCCACCAGCAGTAACATCCAGCCAGGCTATTACCTCATGGACCTGTGGGGACAGAGGCCCCTGGGCTTTGCATGATGCCACCCAGGCCAGAGCCAGAGCAGGAGACCCATTGGCCAGGCTGGGTGGGGCCAGAGCACAGGAGCTGGAAGAGGGGCAAGGAGGGAATGGGGAAGTGACCAGGAGAAGGAGCCAAGGGATAGGGAGGGGGTGACTCTAGGGAGGTTCTGGGAGTGAGGGACAAGTCATTGGGGAGAACCAACTCAGGAAGGTGAGTGGCTGGAGAGGAGGAGAAGGAAGGAGCCCAGGGTGTTGGGGGGTGGGCTCCTGTGTCAGTGAATCAGGAACAGGAAATGGAGACAGAGTTACTGTGTGAGAGAAAGTCTGGAGATGGGGGAGGGAGAGAAGAAAGGACTTGGGTGGGGGTGGGGTACGCCAGCTGCCAGCAAGCCCAAAAGGAGGAAGGAGAAATGAGAAGCATGGTAGGGGGGTGCAGAGAGTGCTGGAGGCTGGAGGCAGTGATCAGCAAGCCAGCGCTCCTATCCCGGTGGACGCAGCTCTGGACACTCTGTGCTTGCCCAAGGATGTCCCCACTGCCCCTCGTGGCCTTCACCCTTCTTCCAATTCATATTTATTTATTTATTGACTTTTATGAAGTTTCCCTTCCATCCAATCCCTATTGCCCATGTTGTCCTGGCCATCCCTGCAGCCATCCAGTTGTCTGTGCAGCTGTCCGTCTGTCTTTCACAAGGAAAATAAAAACGGCAAGCAGCAGGACCTATGTGTGGTCTATGGGAAGGGATGACTGGCAGTACAGGGAGCTGGGGGAGCTGGGACAGGGGTGTTTTAGCTTGGTCTGGGCTAGTAAGAGGGGAGGTATGCCCTCGCCTTCCAATCCCCTCGCCAGGCCCTCCTGGCCCCTTGCCTCTCCCTTATTCCTAAAAGAGGAGAATCTTTGGCCTGCTTCTCCCTCTGAAGTTTCTGGAATCCTGGCAGGACCACTAAATCACCCCCACCACCCTGTAACCAGACTCTGGTGGCCCCCACCTCTTTTCTTCCCATGTTCCATCATCACAACTTGTAGGATGCTGGGCTCTGGAGTGGCCCAGCCCACACCAAAATCCTGGCTCAGCCTCCCTCTCTCTGCCCAGGAGACAGGTCAGCTCTGATCCTGCCCCCTGAAACAGAAATGGTTTCTTCATGATCGGCAACAGCAGGTGGTGTAAAGAGCCGAAGAGGGAACCAGGACAGGCCCACACCCCCATGCTCCCAGTGTTAGAGCACCAGTCAGGGCATGTGGGGCTCCCCTTCACAAGGCGGCTCTGAGTGCTCTGGGCAGCATGTCTGCTGTGAGGGGGCCACAGATGAGCACTTTCCTAGAGCCAAGGGACACCTCAACCTGGACCTCCTTCCCCCCCTGGCTTGGGTGCTAAGGACCTGGGCTCTAGCCACTCCCCCACAGTGCCACAGAATGGTCCCTGGATCCTAGAACAGAGCTGCCCTGCCCTGAGATGAGGGAAGGGAGAATCAGTTCTTGTGTGTGCGCAGTGGAGGGGAGGTGGAGGAGTGGGGGGATAGTGGGTGGGAAGGATGTTTCCCCACTCTTCCACCTTGGAAAGTCTGTTTTTGGCCAGGTGAAAGGAGTAAAGCTTCCCACTATGAGCAGAGAGAGCTGGCGGAGGTGTGATGCTGATTGAGGTTGAGGGTGCCTTGGCTGTAGCCCAAACAACCTTTTCCACAGCCCAGCCCAGCCTCTCTGGTTTCTCAGGACCCCAGGGAAGAGGCAAGCCCCATCATTATAAACTAACAGGATGTTAAAGCCAGCTGGAAGGCACCAGAGAAGCGTCTTGCCCACCTGTCACTTTAGCAATGAAGATATACAGTTTACCTGTGAGAAGCTTTAATCCCCTACTCACTCCAAGTCTTTTCTTATGAAACTGAGGTGCCTGAACTCATATCTTGATAAATGGTAAAATTCCTCTCCCGTCCCCACTCTGATCTTGAGCTCTCTTCCCATTTCCATTGGAAATGGCATGCGAACTGCTTGTTCCAAACTCAGAGGAGCAAAGGTAATTTATGTCAGCAGAGCTGTGTCAAAATCGCTCTGATCAAAAGGTGACAGTGCTCCACACCTGGGCGGGCAGTTACGTTGAATGGAAGCAATGCTGTGATCTGATGCCCTGGCCTGGGCACACTGGAATCCAGGCGAGTCCCAGAGGGCTTAACTAAAGCCCTTCATCTTGGGTGGTCTGATGCCCCAGTGGACCAGCTTATGCCCCAAAGGGGCTTGGGCAGACCTAGATTTGGGGAGTCAATATTAGTGCCAATCTCTGAGGACAGTGCAGCTCAGGCAAACTTTACCACTGCCACATGGAGGGGAGTGAATGGGGAGGGGGAGGCAGGAGAGGATACTGTTCTCAAAAATCATTATGGTCCCCTCTAGGTTTGTCTGTTTACCACCAGGGGGCACAGTACAGAAATGACAACCTCTAGACTCCTGGGTCTAGGGGAGTAAGATGCTTCCGGATTGGTCCTGACAGCCACATGATCTCTCATAACTGGCTGGATGGACAGTGGTCCACTGCTGCTCTGGCTTCATTCAGGGAGACTCCCACAAACACTTGCACCCCTAAACCAATAGTGTCCTGGGAAGGACATGTCCGATTGGGGACTGACCAGAGTGTAAACCTGCCCCAGATTCAGGGAGCTGCATCTCTTGTTGGGCTGGGGCCTTGTCTGATCCTCCCAAGAGTGGGCTGGATACCCACTGCCCTGGGAGGGGATGGGACTAGAGCCACTTGGGTTTCTCCCTGGGCCTGCCCCAGTGACTGAGCCAGCATCCCAGGAGTCTTCTAGCTAAGTAAGGAGCCTGCTTGGGTCAGGGGGCGGGAGCTGGGGCCCCGAGTCTTGGGGCAGCCGCACCAAACAAGGCAAGGAGGGGAGTGATGTATAAAACCAGGGCCTGGGACTGAGCACCTGCCTGTGCCCCTGCTGTGCCGTCCAGAAGGGCTCTGTGCCACCTATTACCCAGCTAGTCCACCGGAGTCCTGAAGTTGACCCCCGATGGTGAGTCCCACCTTCAGACCACCCCCAGACACCCCTCCCACTGAGATGTTCTGAATCTGCAGGGAAAAGGTTTAAAGTCAGAATCTCTGTGTCATCCTAGACCTCCTGTTTACCTTCCCTTCACCTAGATATCCAAAGCAGCTCCCACCAAAAAAAAAACAAACAGTGGTTGCTGCCCAACCTTAGGAATGCACCCTGGATATCAAGGACCCCCAGGTCCAGAGAGCAACCATTCACATTCAGGCCTCTACAGGGGCTGCAGGTGAGCGGGGAGCCCTGGAGCCCTCAGGAGGAAGGGAGCTGAAGTTGTAGAAAGCACATTCCTACATTGTGGGTGGGTGGTCCATGAGCACAGTGTCATGGACTGCTAGGGTCATTGGGTTTAGGGGACAGATGTTACTGAGGTGTGGAAGGGTGGCCGACAAGAGTACATCATTTTACCAGGGTAACTCTTCAGGCACAGCCCTCTACTTCTCTACGCCTACATTAAGGTTCTAGTGGACAGAAAGGGAGGGCAGGGGACAGGAGCGCTGCGCAGGGCTGCAGGTGGGAGCTGCATCTTGGGAGGTCTGGGCCCTGACCTGGCTGGCTATTAGGTCCCAGAGGAACTATGTGAGAAGGGGCTGCCACGAGTGCTAGAGCCACTGAAGGATGCAGTGTTGATGGAGGGCAGCCCAGCCCAGCTGACTTGCCAGCATTTCTGCTTTCCCGACCCATTCATCCGTTGGAGCAATGACATCAAGGAGCTACGAGAAGGGCCAAAGTATCAATCGCCATGTCTTCAAGAACCCTGACGTAGTCACATTGTTGGTGCGCGATGATGAGCTGGCAGACCTGGACCAGTACAGCATCAATGTAATCAACCCCTTCGGCTCCAACTCGGCGGGAATCCTTATAGAAGGTATGCACACCCCAGGTACAGTGCCCCCGCTGAGCAATACCACCCCCAGACGCCTGCAGCTGGTTCCAGCTGTGCTCATTTACCGCTGGGCCTAGCTAAGTCTGGGATGGGTGCGGACCAGGCCAGCCCCAGGCATAGCCTGGGGCACAGTGTCAAGAGGGCTGGGGAGCCAGTCCCTACCTCAGGATCCCGTCCCACCGAGACACAGAAGTCCACTGAGGGCTTCAATCACTCAACTCCAGGGCCCCAAGGTCACAGAGAGCCAGGGGCAGAGCTCAGATCTTCTGGCTTCGACAGGGAAATTTCCACTACCCAGAGCTGTCTACAAGGCACTGCAAAAAGTGTGAGCATTCCCGGCTTTCACCCCTGAGAAGTCAGAGGGGGCAGATATTAGTCTCATTTAACAGCTAAGGAGATAAAGCCCCAGAGAGGATACAGACTTGCTCAATGTCCACTGCGAGTTTAAATCCATTTCATATCTAGGGCCCGGTATTAGCTGGGGAGGCAATGTCCCTGTCTCGCCTCACCTTAGATCCCTCACTGGTTCGCATTCCCTTTCCCTTCATTTAGTCCCGGCGAAGATTCAAAAGGGATCGGATAACACTAAGGCGCGCAAGGGTGCCACGGTGACGCTGACTGCGGAGATCATGGGTGAGCCTGCGCCTGTCGTGGGTTGGACCAAGGATGGGCAAGACATAGAGGAGGATGACAGGCGAGGGCGGAGGCCGGCAGCAGGGCCAGGCCTGGAGCTGACGCCTGGACTGGAAAGGGCCCAGAAACCCGGCGGGGGTGGGACGGGGGCGGAGAAACTGGGGGTGAAGTACAGCTAGCTAATTAGCTGGGCCCAGGGCGCGCTCTACCTGACACGGGGAGCGCCTTTGCCCTCTCTTCCCGCCCAGGGTGTTCTTCGAGATCGGTAGTACCACCACGACGCTGACCATTTGTTGGGCCACGCCCGAGGACCGCGGCAAATACGAGGTGTACTTGGAGGACATGGACCAGAGCGTCTCTCGCTTGGACGTAGCCTGAAAGGGACCTTCAGGCCTTTCGCCCTGGCTCTAAGCCCTGGGGTGTGTGGGACAGACAGCCCTTCTCCATCTTGCTCAATAAAGATGCTCTCCCTGACCCTCCGTGTCTATTCTGTACTTTTGAGATGCCATTTCCGTTAGCGCCCACGCTTATTCCGGACCTACACGCCAAGGTCGCAGAATGTTGGGGCCAGAGTGTTTGGAGTGCCTAGTCCACTGCTTTACTTTACGGACAGTAAATCTGAGACACGCTTTCTTTTACAGTCAGACACTCCTTCACTTCCCTGCGGGATGGGCCTAGGGGTCTATGACCCCGCCTTCCCTCCTTTTGTATACCTCAAGCCCCGCCCTCTCCTGAGGGTTTGCGCTCTGGCCCTGTCCATTTCAAGACTGGCCACACCCCTGTCTCGTCTCTAGCCGCTTTTCCCCGCGACCTAGTTCTCTACTTCGGCTGTTCCTCCTGGGCCCGTTCCCAGGCAGTTTCGGGTGCTAATCGTAGATTCCAGTCTCTACTTCTTAGGCCCCACCCTTCTTCTATTTAGACCCGCCCCCTTTACCCGTTGGCCCTGCCCCTGCGTTCTCCTCTAAGGCCCTCCTCCCTCTCTCATAGTCGGAAGCGTGGGGTAGGGGCTTAAGAACTACAATTCCCGGCATACTATGCTAAGGAGTTCTCGCGAGTTGCGAGAAGACACGTGCGCGGAAGGAGCAAGCAGTTGTGGACCGCAGAGCTGCAATAAAGGGAACTAGTGGTAAAGGCTCCTGATGGAGGGGTGGTGGGAGGGTTTGGGGGGCAGGGGCCGGGATGCTTGGAGGTCCCGGATGGTTCTACGCACGTCCGCTCCTGTGTTGGTCCTACAACCCCTGGCTACGCGAGGTTAGGGTTTATTGAACAGTCAGATGTGGGGTTCTGAGGATCAGTCCTCCGAATCCTGAGTTTCAGCTACTTGTCAGTATTGGAACTCAGGGTGTTTGTAAGTTCCGTATTTGGGATGCCAAGGGAATATGTCTTTTGATTCAGGGTTCATCACCTAGAGGTTAGTTTTAGGATTCAGGTTCAGCATATAGAGGGTTTTTGCTAGGATTTGAGATTCATCAGATGCATATCAGTGTTAGTTCAATACTTGGGATTCACTCTTACCATTGTGGTTATATATCTGGGGCTCCCTCAGGATCCGAGGTTCGATTTTCAGGGTTCACTATTGGGATTCAGAGTTTAACATCTAGCGTGAGATTGCAGCATTTGGGAATACGTGGATAAGGTTTGGAGGTTTGGAGTGTGAGAAGGGGGTAATACTGCTGAGTTTCTGAGTTTAATTTGTGGCCAGAGGGAAGTCTGTTAGGCATCAAATTACAGGGAGCAATTTCAGAATCTGGGATGAGTCACCATAGGGTTTGATGGCCTGTTGGAATCTGGGTTGGGATTTGAGATATGTGGGATTTGTGAGGAGTTGTATGCCAGAAAGGACTGTATTGAACTTTGGATTTACATCCCGGGAGAGGGCTGTGTTGTTCTTGGAGATTTGGTGTTTGCTTGGGGATATGAGTGGAGTTTCTGGGTTGGGCTGTGAGATCTGAGCTTGATTTCTCTGTTGGTATTTGAGGTTTAGGTAGCAATCAACATCATGCTCAAAGCTGTGATCCTGATTGGAGGCCCTCAAAAGGGTGAGGAGTTGGAGGAATGGGGGTAGGAGGTTGGGCTTGAATGGTTGGTGGGGTGGAGTCAGAGGGAGACTGGAAGATGAAATGTACTTCTCTCTCCTCTCCCAGGGACTCGCTTCAGGCCTTTGTCTTTTGAGGTGCCCAAACCCCTGTTTCCGGTGGCAGGGGTCCCTATGATCCAGCACCACATTGAGGCCTGTGCCCAGGTAACCCCATAGGAACCCCTCTCCCACCTCACTTCCTGCTCATTCCTTCATGCCATTTTGCCCCTCTTTTCCAACCTTAACCTCTTCCTGCTAGGCATAACTCCAAGGACCACCATTTACAAATAACAACATGAATGGCACCCCTTGGAGTTTGCAGTGCAGCTGTTCTGTCTTCCACCTAATCTAGTCTCATCTGGCCTCTTCTTGCTCAGATTTCACTCCTGTTTTAAAGCATGGGATATGAGATCAGGCAGGCATCTTGGAGACCATTTAAAGCTATAGCATGAGGAACCTTAATGATAACAGCTCTGGACTCATACCGTTGCTCACCACGAAGCTAATTTCTTTGTTGTTTTTGGTATCGGGACAGATAAGACTATATGAATCTAGTATCTGCCTGCTGTAAGGACTTGAGTAAATTTCTCACCCTTTTTGAGCCTTAGTTTCCTTAATTGTAAAATGGGGTGAATTAGACCTACTTCGTGGGGTGGTGAAAGATGCTTACAGATGATGTTTGTGAAGTGTACAGTGTAGGCACTTGGTAAATGATACCCTAACTTCATGCTCATCCCAAGGTCAGATTAACAGATAGTAAATATTAGGGAAATGAATGGATTGGTAGGCAGAATTTTCCCAATTCAGATGCAGGCAGTTGGGGGATAGTAGAATGAAAAAAGATTGAAAGATTAAAGACTGAAACATCATTGTCCAGAGGAGAAATCAGACCAAAGTGGTAAAGTGAGTATCCAGGGGGGCCCCATAGCTGAGTCTGCAACTGTGTGGTCTCTGGATTTCTGGGCCAATTCCACAGATTCCCCCAACATTCCTTCCCATCAGATACTGTTTTCTCCCAACGTCTTCCCTTGTCCTCAGGTCCCTGGGATGCAGGAGATTCTGCTCATTGGCTTCTATCAACCTGATGAGCCCCTTAGCCGGTTCCTAGAAGCTGCCCAGCAGGAGTTTAACCTTCCAGTCAGGTGTTGTGCACACATGCTGTGTGGGGTGGGGGAGTGGTGCCCTAAGCCTCTGAATTTTCAGCAGTAGATAGAGTGAGCATTTGCCAGACTTCACCCTCACACACTGGGAGGATTTTTATTTGGGCATCTCTGGATCCCTGAGTATATTGAGTTTTTCTGGGCTTTGGGCGGGTTTACTTCCAGGAGTAGGAGGGGTACGGTACCCAGGCTCATGGTATCTGTCTCCTCTGATCTCACTGAGCTGGCTCTGGGGTCCCTGGGGACAGGTACCTGCAGGAATTTGTGCCTCTGGGCACAGGGGGTGGTCTCTACCATTTCCGGGACCAGATCCTGGCAGGGAGCCCGGAGGCCTTCTTCGTGCTCAACGCCGATGTCTGCTCCGACTTTCCCTTGAACGCTATGTTGAAGGCCTACAGACACCAGCCTCACCCTTTCTTGCTCCTTGGCACCACGGTGAGGAGGCTTGGAGGGCTGGAGGGTATAGAAGGAGTAATCCAGAGAGGTTCCTGGAAAGCAGGGTATCAGGGAGGCAGAGGCAGCCTAGGGAGTTAGGAGTGGGAATGAGGAAGGAGATGTGTCAGAAGCCCCAGCAGTAACGAAGACCTGGAGCCCTTTGGCTGCTCAGAAGTAGGGAGGGGGAGGGCAGCTGTCAGTTTGCACCCCTGCTGAAAGCCTGTCAGTGGCGGAGCTGCGTGCCAGGTGCTGTAGGGGAGAGAAAGAAAGAAAGAGAAAACAGACCTTGCGGCCCTGGAGCAGGCAGGTCACTGTCTCAGTGTGCTGTCTTTCAGGCTAACAGGACACAATCCCTCAACTATGGCTGCATTGTAGAGAATCCACAGACACACGAGGTGAGAGTGGAGGGGCTGGCTGGGTGCTAACTCTGTGTGTCATCACTCCCCACCCCCTCTGCCTCTAGGGAATGCTGTAATGCTATGGGGTGGGCCCCAGTCAGACAGGTGGGGTGTAGCCTCAGTTCATCTTATATTCCTTCTAGGGTGATTGGTAAGAGTGAAGGAGTAACAGTTAATTGTCATGGTTGTGATGCTCCAATAGATGTGTGCACAGGATGCTATGGGAACACAAAAAGGGGGCCCAACCCAGCCTTGCGCCTGTGCAGGTGGGAGGGCTCCCCAGAGCAGGCAAGGTCTGAGCTGAGTTAAATTTGTCTAGACAGAAGAATATTGCAGGTAGAGAGAGCAGTACGTACAAATGCGCAGAAGCAGGCGACAGCATAGTGCCTCTGGAATTAAGGAGGTGGGAACATAATCGACTAGGCAGAGGGTCTCTGCCTCTGTTTGTGAAACTCCCTGGCCTTGAGCCTAACTGACTTTCACACACCAGCTTTATTTGTTTAAGCTGTAGTATTAAAAATATACCTGAACATACATAGACACACACACATATACTATGACTTTTTAAAGTTTTGTGCTAGGCACCAGGTAGGCATGAGGAAAACACAGCCACAAAGACACAATCCCTCCCTCTCTGGAACCCTGTGTAGTTGGAGAGGCGGTCAAAAAGCAACCAGCAAATGACACAGGTGCCACAGGCAGGTGTGGCCAGAGGGCAGTGGTGCCCAGACCTGAGAAGCTAACTCTGGAGCAGATAAGAGCAGACTCACAGAGGAAGTGACAATGTCAACTGGGCTTTGATAGCCAAGTTTTCCAGATGAAGAGATGGGAAAGGGCATGCCAGGCACAGTCATGTGATGGCATGGAGTTGTGTTCTGGTAGTGCTGGAAGGTAGGGAGGTTTGCAAGGGGAAAGACATGTAGTCCAGACTTATCTTGAAAGTGAAGGTGAAGGACAGTGGCAAGATGTGCACTGCAGTTTAGGAAGACCAGCCTGGCAGGAGGGAGAAGCTGGAGGTTACAGGCTCCTAGAGGGTAGTGGCAGGGCCCCTCTTACTACACCCAGCTCTCTGTCCTCAGGTGCTGCACTATGTGGAGAAACCCAGCACATTTGTCAGTGACATCATCAACTGCGGCATCTACCTCTTTTCTCCAGAAGCCCTGAAGCCCCTCCGGGATGTCTTCCAGTGTAATCAGCAGGATAGGCAACTGTGAGGCAGGCCCCATGGTCCTGTACCCCCAAGTACCCCCAACCACAGACCCCCCAGTCTCTGCAGGCTCCATCTCAACCTGCTCACCTTTTCTCCCTTCTCCTTTCCACTTGTCATCTCCAGCCCAACCTCCCCAGTCCCTCCC